GAACAAGTGTAAGATTGGTTAGAAATTGGCAAAGCAATAAAAAAGGAATGTTGAACATGATGAGCTGTGCACAACATATTTACATTTCAGAATTAGGCTTTTCCACTTTCAAAACCTTTTGGCCCCGTCTGGCTACTGACAATGTTACTAGTAGTTTTTGTAGCAGCTGGTCAGTATCTCCAGGCAAGACACTGCAGGGGACACTCAGCTCCTCCTGATCCTCTGTCAGAAGAACTAAGTTGCAGTCTTTTGTAGCAAATCCCACAACCTTTATGAAGCTTCTTTCAGGTTCATCTGTGATTTCCTGTAGTATATCATTTTTAAAAAAAGGTTAGAACATTACATGCATGCCTGACAGCTGTGTAATGGACACACATACACATACAGTCAGCTCCAGAATTATTGGCTCCCTTAAAGAAATTGAGCAAAAACAATCAAATAAATTTAACAATACATATAATAATTCAATTTTTCCTCAGAAATGTCTGTATAAATTGCTTATGATTTATTTAATAGAATTAATTCCTATAAGAGTGTTATTTATTTTAAGAACAATGTATTCTTTCAAAAAATTATGGGGCAAAAAAAAAAAAAAGAAAATTTTTATTTACACCAAACAAATTAGCATCTTTAAAGGAAAAAGAAAATCTTTATATTGCTCCTATTCTAAAGGAACATACTATGGCCATTCCCTGTTTCCCTGGGGTTACAAACATATTTATTTATTATCCATCAACATATGTAAAAAAAGAGATATGAACCTGCACAGATTAGGAAATGGTTATAAAAACATTAGTAGTCGGCTGAAATTACCATTAAGCACAACCAGGATGATAATTTAAAAAAGGTTTTTGAATGGCATGGAACAGCTAAAAATTTGCCAGTGTGATGGCTTTGTAGTAGTCAGATGCCCGCAGATCAGGCTGTGGTTAAAATGTTTAATAAAGGATAATTTAAAAAAACAAAGTACAAAAACAGGCAAAATGTCATACATAGACAAACAGGGCAATGCAGGCCAAGCTAAGTCAGAGTGAAAGACACAAGCAAGAGGTCACAACCTGAAAAAAGGGAGGACAACAGAGCCAAAAAGGGGGCCAGGCTAGAATCGTAAACATGAAAAATGAACGAGAAAACAAACCAGGAAGTTAAACACTGGAACAAAAAGGCTCTGTAATGCACAGGAGACTGATACAATACTTCGCAAGGAGGCTACGGAAACAAGTTTTATGGGCACATGAACAGGCGACAACAATCAACAATCATGTGGCTTGGAGTGTGGATAGGTAGATGGCTGAGAGTCCATGGTCATGTAATTCTGGGAGTTTGAGTTCTGAACAAAGTGAGGGTTGTTAGTCTCTGCTGAGCTGGCAGGAGGTGTGACAGCCAGGTAGAGGTCACATGAGCACACTGCCCCTAGATACAGTGAGGAGGCAAAGAGGAACCCAAGAATCACAGTTCCAGAGCTGCACAGTTTAGTTTAATCTTGGGGTTTTCACATTTGAAAGTCTCCTCTCTGATAGAACCTCCATGACCAAAAGCTGAAAGCATTCTGTGAAAGAAGTGCAGCCACAAAATGCAGTGCCTGAACTTACAAATGGAATCGTGGTGTGCTTAAAAGAGACAAAAAAATGTACTTTTTGGTCATGCATGCCATCAAGTTTGACAACTAAATACACTAAATACACTAAAATATGATTAAATAAATATGATTTTCATTTTCAAGTCATCATACGTGAAAATTCATGTTAAAGTAGTGAATTACAAAACAGAATTTTAATGTGAAAAAGTGTGTACACCGATGCACTTTTTCAACCTGATGTACATATTTTGGTAGTCTCTGTCACAGGATCAGACACGGAGGGGCAAAACTAATTACTCATAAGAAACTTATCTCATGAGAAAACTGACCTCCAACATTAAAACCACACACATATTCAGCTGAAAATAATAGTAGATCACTAAAGGTTGACAGTTAACACATCTTGCAATTAGATACTACTTCATATTACTCTACTGAAGTGAGACAGCACACAGTATCGAACTATGAACTCTTACAGAAGACTATAAACTCTCACTACAAACATGTCAACAATATTAATTTATTAATGGTGTAAGTTAAATTACATTTCAATTTTCTTAAGTAGTAAAACGCATTTTTCCTCCAGTGATTTAGGACTGTATTCTTGTTGACTGTATCATTAAGTTTAAAATCATATTATTTTTGGTTTTAAAATAAAAATATGAAGCACTTTCTTTTGCTTAAGCCCAAAACACCTCTTGTAGCATGTGTGCTCTATTTAATGTACTGATTTAGGTCATTTTCATGAAGTTTACAATAATTCAAGAGTTTACTGTATGTGTGTTATGAGCAAAGCATAGCCTTATTTTACTGTGAGTAAAATGATGATTTAAGTGGTTCAGGTGTGCAGTGAGAGCCAACAAGGATCTCTTGAACAGGAACCTTGAAGCCTGGATTTGGAAGGTACTGATGGAGGGGCAGGAGTTCATAATACTCAGAGAAATAATTGTGTGGTCAGAAGAGATCATTTTTTTCTCCCTTCAGTGTAGTACCCATACACGCCACAGATCTGACATCAGTGAGGAACATCAGCATCCAAAAAAAACTTGAAATAAATTGTTTAAACGACCACCGATCACATCTTCCAGACGTCTGAGTTTACCCACCTGATTCAGTCAGATAGAAATTGCATTTGAGTAGACTATTCTGATTGATATGTACACATGAACGTGTTCTATTCAGATTGAGCTATTAGTCGGATTATTAACAGATTATCAGACTGCGTGTCTCTGCATGTGGCTCAGACTGCAAAGGTCACCTTTAAGCAGACTTTATGCACTATTTTATCCTCTTCAATGAGAATTATTCAAATTATGGGTCTGTTTACACTGTGCATTAACCTGCATTTTTGGTGACCTGATTACATTTGGTTTTTATTTAATCACATGGAAAGACACACTGTGAGTGGATTCTAGCTATATATACATTGTTTTATACAATAAAATGAACAGAAATGTGTCTGCTGAGCAATGACTAGCAGGCAAGAGAATAAACAAAAAAGAGAGGAAACACGAGGCTAAAGTTCCCCAAACCAAGAGCCTTCATGCACTCCAGGTCAATGAAAGTGTCCAAACCAAGCTCATCCACTCAAATCATAACAGGGAAAAGAGTAAACAAAGGCAAATGGAAACGATGCATGTGTTGATGTGCTTTTTACACAGGAAAAGTACAGTATGATCTCTATCAGCAATATCAGTCTGCAACTTAATTTGATGTACGCTGCTTCTTGTTAAATTTGTTTTTTGTTTTATTATTTAAAATGTAATGATTTTAATTGGTTGTTCAGATTGTTTTATTTGCTTTAGTGGCTTATTCTTCAACCCCAAATCAGAAAAATATGGGACAGTTTAGAAAATGCAAATAAAAAAAGAAAGCGATGATTTCAACAATTTACTCTGATTTTGAATTTCACTGCAGACAGTATGAAAACAAGATATTTTGTGTTTTGTCTGGTCAGCTTAATTTCATTAGTAAATATACATCCATTCCTCCCATTTAGGCCTGCAACACCTGATTTGGCACAAAAGCTGCATCCAGGAAAAGCTGAGTCCTTTAAGAGTAGAGATGGGCCGAGAATCACCAACAGAGATTTGTTTACCAACAAATGCCTGAGAAAATTATTGAATTATTTAAAAACAATGTTCCTCAAGAACTCTAGTGTTGGTGTTTTAATGGACTGAAGGTATTCTGAGATGTTTCTACAGTGTTTATGCAGCTGTAGACTGTTTGGGGGAAAAAATGCACTGCTGTGCTGAACTGTATGTTCCTGCAGAGAGGGGTGTGAAGAGTTTTGAAAAAGTGAATATGGAAAAATGCTTCTTAGCGACTGTTAAAAACACTGTGGAATAGTTTAGCCTGTTCAAGTCCAAAGACTGTGTTCAGTGTGAAAAGAACTTGCACTGCTTGGTTTAATGTGGTGAAATGTTGATTAGGTTTAGACTGGATGATCATTTAACAGCTTCTATTTGAAATGTAATTTTCATACTTTTATACACAATCAGATTTGGACTTTTAGGGGGAAAATGGGCTTAATTTCAGTGTTGTTGTTGTTGTTGTTGAATGTACAGCATATGAATATAGATGCCATTAAGTGTTTCTGTTGGTTCTGTACTGTGTTTTGGCTTTTTGAATGTGCTGATATCACAATGTAAAGGATGCTAATGGTTGACCAATGACTGCAGTGAAATTCCTGCTAAATGGATCTGGCTCCACCCACTGGTTGGTCAGTAAAGTGCAGCCTCTTCTTAATAAAGCAATCATAGGAAACTCTCGGGAACGTAGACTGAGTGCATTGCTGTGGGCAAGTACTGCTCCTGACTGTGACTCAGGAAAAAATAAAATAATGCTGTAAAGTGCAGTGATGTCCCATGTCCCTAAATATTCATAAATAAAACCCCTTAGAGACCAACATATTGAAGTTGGAACTAGCAGAATGAGCTATTTTAGTCATTTTACTGTCAGAGCTACACGAGGCTGTGCTAACTTTAGATTCTTTCATTTAAGCAGAAAAGCTGACTAAATTATGTATGAAAATTCAGTGCAGGTAAGCTAAAGTGCTTCTTCGCTGTATTAATTGTGGTATTAATAATGTAACATGTTGTATAAATCCAATTTTACTGCCCTGAGCTGTAGCTACACTTTAGCAGGCTATGGGTCGGGTTTCCATGTGGTTGGAGAGCTTGTTGTTTCTCATCATCAGATGGCGGTGTTTCTTAGGTCATTTTCTGTGTTTTGTTCAGCGAATAATTACAGCAATTGATGATGAAGTGTAGACATCAGTGCGCTGGAATGTAATCAATAAGTTATGTATTATATATCTTAATAAATACTGCTAACAATGTAATTATATTAAGTTAAGAAATATTCAACCACTGTATGATCAGTATCTTTAGAATATTGAATAGAATACCCTTTATTTTTTTTAATCAAATAATGTGCAAGGTAAGTTTATTCATATAGCACCTTATATACACTGCTGTCATTCAAAGTGCTTTACAAAGGAGAAAATAGTCATTTAAAAAGAAAAGGTTAAATTAAAAACATGATTAAAGCAAGATTAAAACAATAGATTTAAAAGAGAATCAACAAATTCAAATCAAATTAGAAATTACATTACATTAGATATCGCTTTTATCAGTTTACACTTTAGAAAAACTACATATTCAAAATACATTTTGTCTGATAACTGACAAAATACTGTTTTTGTGTGATTTTTTTTTTTCTTTTAACCAAAATGCTGTGTAGAGAGCAGGCAAAGAACTCCATTCAGCTCAGTATAGCTCCAGTTCGGCAGTGCAGATCAAAATGCTTGGACACCGCATTGTAGATATTGTATGCAGTATTTATCAAAAGTTTTATTACTACAATGGGTACAAATGGCTGTGAGTAAGCAGAAACAGGTATGAATTTCAACCACATGGGCCATAGCATAACAAATAGAGCAAAACATAACATTTCCTCAATGCCCAGGTGATAATAGACTTCTCACTGAAATAATTTCTCCTGCTTTAAAACTAATGGACACTTTGTGTGGCAAATTATTGACTATTGAATTGACATCGTCTCTCTGTACAGCCGCCGGAATCACAAACACCTTCATGCTGGAGGTAAAGATCCTCGTGTCATTAGTGATGCTTTTGGAGAAACCGACAATCTCCACTTCTGTGGTATTATCGGCGATCTCAGGTTTCTGTGAATAACACATTACAAACGTTGGTGACAGTAATCTTAAAAGAAAGCTAATTTCCATATAACAGAAAATAGTATTAACAGAGAGATAAACAGAATAAGGGGCGAGGCAGGATGAGGCAAAGATGACGGCTTTCCATGACATCTGGGCAACTATCATACAGACTCGGTGTATATACAAACACTCCTGTGCAAAAAAATATAAAAATGGGGAAAGGGAAAAACTCTCCTATACTAACTTACTCCATTTGTTTGTTTAACGATTTGTTGTTAAGACCATAAAAAGCTTAACATCCTTCCTTTTACTATGTCTGAGCACATATGTTCAGACCATGTAACGACATATAGATATAGCAGATTTGACTATTTTTATTCCTAAACTAAGCAGAACTCTTTGGACAAAGTTAACCCTTTTGACTGAAGATACAAAGAGGAATCACAAGGCTCAGGATATCTGACCAAACAAGTTTATGTGCCCAGAATCCTCTAAGGACTCTCTCTCAACCATCTCCCTTTTCAACCGACATTAGTATATCTGTAGACTGAATAAAAGTAAATTCTAGATACAAGTATTTGACTTTTGAAAATTCCCTTCTGGGGTCCATCTAACTATCTCTGAAAGAATGCCCTGTGTGTCTCTCTGGTAAACTATCAATGTGTAACTCAAGCTCATATTTCCCCATGCAGAATTGTCACATGTGAATTAATACTAAAATTCCCTTTTGTTTTGATAGTTATTTTATGATTCATACAGTGTAACCCAGTTTCTTTCATGGAATTATTTTGATTCTTATTCTTATTATTTATTAAGTTTTCAAAAAAAGGCGGGGGCCTGTTTACCACTGTGTTTCATCACCTCTTCTTTTAACAGCACTCTAAGTGTTTGGGAACTGAGGAGACACTGCTGTAGTGTTGAAAGTGAAATGTTTTCCATTCTTGTTTGATACAGGATTTCAGCTGCTCGTCAGTTCAGGGTCTCCTTTGTCATATTTTTCATTTCATTATGCACCAAATGTTTTCAGTGGTGACAGGTCTGGACTGCAGGCAGATCAGTTTAGCCTCCAGACTCTTTTTTAATCTGGAGCAATGCTGCTGTAATACATGCAGAATGTGGTTTGACATTGTCTTGCTGAAATAATTAAGGGCTTCCCTGAAAAAGATGTCGTCTGGATGGCAGCATGTTGCCAAAACATGTATTTATCATTCAGAATTACTGGTGCCTTCACAGATGTGCACGTCACCCATGCCATGTGCACTAATGCTCCCCTATACCATCATGAATACTGGCTTTTGAACTGTGCACTGATAACAAGCTGAGTAGTCTTTAGCCCAGAGGACACAGTATCCATGATTTCCAAAAAGAATTTCAAATGTTGATTCGTCGGACCACAGGACACTTTTCCACTTCCCCTCAATCCATTTTAAATGAGCTCGGGCCCAGAGAAGGTGGCAGCATTCCTGGATACTGTTTATGTACAGTTTCTTCTTTGCATTTTAGAGTTTTAACTTGCATTTGTGGATGCAGCAATGAACTGTGTTCACACAGTTTTTTTTAGAAGTGTTTCTGAGCCCATGCAGTGATTTCCACTACAAAATCATGTCTGTTGTTAATGCAGTGCTGCCTGAGGGCCCAAAGATCACGGCCAGCAAATACTGGTTTTTGGCCTTGTCCCTTACATACAGAGATTTCTCCACATTCTCTGAATCTTTTAATGTTATTATGTATCGTAGAAGAAGAAAAGCAAAAGTTCTTTGCTATTTTATGTTGAGAAACGTTATTCTTGAATTGTTGCACAATTTGATGGTGCAGTCTTTCACAGAGTGGTGAACCCCTCCTCATCTTTACTTCTGAAAGACTCAGCCTCTCTGGGATGCTCTTTATACCCGTAATTAATTTACTTAATGCTGTTCAACCATGTTCAGAAATCTGTGAAGTCATTGAGAAGATACTCAAGTACCAGGAAACAGACACAGCAAGAACAGTAAAAGAAAAGATGATGTAACAGAAGAAGTTAAGAGCTCATACTTAGCACTTTAAATATGCAGATATTTATTTTTGTTCCTTGTCAGTTTGTCGTGACTATGTCTAGATGTTGTTGTTGTTGTTGTTGTTGTTGTTTTTTTGTTTTTTTTTTGTTTTTTTTTTCTTCACTTACACATTAATCTGACGTGTTGTTAATTCTTTGACTTACTGTATTTGCACATTATATAGTCTAACTTAGCTGCATTTGTTTTTAAGTTACGTCAATTTATTTTGAAAGTGTTGACTGGCCAAAGACTTGTCATCACGAAATCTGTGAGCATAGTTTAAGAATTACGGACAGAACTAAAACACATCCAGGTCCGGTTGGATGCGACACTCTCAGGGTTCACCTCCCCAACTGCATCATCATGCAGCACCAGCGGCCCTCACTATCTACAAATAGCCCCGGTAAAGCACCCTCACTTCTGTATGTTATTTAGTCTCAACGCTGTGTTACTCTGTCCCCTTTTTAAGATAAACCCTGATCAGTCGTTACAGTAGCATTTATATTCCATTCTGTGTACTGCTCAAACCCCATAAAATATCTTTTTCTGTGTTTCAGCTGACTACAGTATGTTCATTTAGTGAATCTCATGTCTCTAGTTTCTCTCTGCATACCTATTATTGTAGCATTTAGTGCTTATATACCTTGTTATTAATAAATGACACTTATTAAAGTTATTAAAGTTAAAGTAACCTTCGCCTACCTGTGTAAAATGATCAAGTTGTAAGTCGCTCTGGATAAGAGAGTCTGCCAAATGCTGTAAGTGTAAATGATGGAGCTAGAAGCAGGCGAGACCCATACGTGTGTGTGTGTGTATATGAACAAATTCATAATAGTTGCAAACGTTTTCTGAGAATTATCTTATCTTAAATATACTATATATCCTGTAAGTTTCGATGCCCCAAATGAACAATGCCTAGAAAATGTTTCAGTTCATGGTTTTATGATTTTTGTTTATCCTGTACCTTTTATTGGCACATTAAAAATAAAAATTACCTCAAGTGTAGTATATGCTGTTGAGTTGAAACATCCTTCCTCCTCAGGCTTCAGGAGTAGATGAGTAATTTTCCATGGTTTACCAAGGCTAAGTTCGGTGAGGGCCACCTCTCTCCACAGGTAGACTTCAAATTGTCCCCCTTCACACTGCAGTGACACATCCAAGACGGGCACCGGTCCATGCTTCGTTTGTCTCAGCTGTACAGTACTCATCTAACATATTACAATAGGGCTGTGTAACACAAGATATGTATTGAAAAAAATTTTTATAAATCAAGGAACATTAAGAATAATAGGAATAACAATATTGTGCTTGCCTTAAAAATATTGTAATAATGATTGCACTAATGCATGGACAATAGATGATGGCCCATATTTACAAACATGTTCATTAGGTATGCATTCCTTGTCATAGACTCATTAGCCACTTTGTAAGGTACATCTACCACAGTTGTGCACTTTTAGGTGTTCACATACAGACTGTAATCCATCTATTGTCTGTTTCCAATCACAGGAGCATTGTTACTTGGACATTATGTTGGTGGGGGATCATTTTCAGTACAGCAGTGAAAATGACATTGTAACCCATTTATGTCTACTACCAAGTTATACTCAGGTATGCTTGGCTTATACCGACAAGTACACAGAAAATTTGTCAGATATAAAAGTAAGTATATTAACAACATAGACGCCTCAGGGAAGACAACTGGTGACAAGCCTGGTGATTTCGGGGTCCATATCTCTGGTTCCTGAAGGTAAGCAGGGCTTGCTGGAAAAAGCACATCATGCTCTACTGACCTGTGGATTTTGGCTTTGCTAAGCATTCCCCTCTAATGTAGTTTTATTCATGATGTCACCAGCAGGCTTGGGAGGGTTACTTTAAAAATCTATTCCATTCCAGATTACCGATTACCTGTTAAAACTGTAATTGTTACCTAATCCAAAGGATTTCTCTTATGGGGCAGTACAGAGAGAACAAGTGCAGAGAGGAAAACCAGTGAATACTAGGTTTTAATTTGATCAAGTAGATGTGATTTGTTGAATGATTTGGCTATATGGTAAGCAGACTGGAGTGTAATGATTGTGCACTGGTGTAGAGATGCCTCAGGCGATCTGCTCTACCCACGATCTACTGCTTGGCAGTCCAAGGAGTTACCACTCAGAGTTCACTGCCAGATCAGACCAGTTTGCTGCTGTACAATCTGGTGGTGTGGAAAATCAGGGTACATGACTGATTCAGATATCTTCAAGAAAATCAGATTTCAGTTCTGACAATAAAATACTTGGTAAAATCTATATAGATTCAGATCAAGTCAAATTTTATTTATATAGCACTTTTTACAACAGGTGTTGTCACAAAGCAGCTTTACAGAAAAAAATCTGGGTCCAAGCCCCCATGAGCGTCGCCAATGGGGACAGTGGCAAGGAAAACACTCCTAACAGCAAAAGGAAGAAAACTTAAGAGGAACCAAGACTGAAAAGGGGAAAACAATAACACAAGAGCAAGATTGGCTGAATATAAAACCGTGAACTGCTGCTGGGCGTAGGATTCTTCAGAATTCTATCTGGCAGAAGCACCACCCACCCCTTACTACCAAATTAAAAACTCTGTAAATCTACACGACTCGTGATCTTTTTCATTAAAACATCAAACTTCAGTGAATGATGACAAGTTTTCATTTGAATGTAATCCTGCTGGTAATCATTCTGTTTTATAATGTACCTGTAATTTGATTGTTTTTTGACTGTAACTCTAACGGATTACAGTGACCTCTTTTTTGTATCCTGATTACCTCTATAAAACTTAAGGTAAGCTATTTGTGTACTAAAAGTTTACGACTGTTACACTTATAAAATACTTTGTCTTCATAAACCAAAAAGTGGACTAGTATTTTATATAGTGTGTGTGTGTGTGTGTGTGTGTGTATGTATATATATATATAAAATGTAGATGTAGTAATTAGTTGTGTACTCAAAGATTACTACTCTTACACTTAAGTATACTTTTATGAACTAAAAAGTGGGCCAATTTAGTCCCAAGTTAGTACACTTACAGGTGTACTACTAGTACACTGATATTAGTATACTCACTGCATAAAATGTACATGGAAAATATAACATTACTTAAGTAAACTTAATAAAATGAACTTTAATATTTTTTGTAAGGGTACTCACTGTGATAATGTTCCCTTGAAGAGTGTAGTACTCCTTACACCTCTCTGGTTTCTTATCCTCCTTGGAAGGGGGGCAGATGGCATGTTTGCATTCTTCCTCTAATTCGGAAGACACAAAGATTTCTGATGTTGTCTTGTAAACTGTGGTTAAAGGACTGAAGAACATCTTCATCTGGTTGTTTTGTTGAGTTAGACGGTAATTTCTGATGTAGTATGACTGATTTTCATCAATCTGTTGGCAGTCTTCATTCTCCAGGTGGGCCACAATGAGCATTTGCCCATCAGTGAGAGCGCAGTCAGCAATTTGTTTAGATGACTGAACATCCACCACGCCATCCACCATCATGAAACTCTCGGCCCTGAATGTCGAGCGTTTTGCCACACATTTCAATCTAACAGAAGTTCAAAAACATATTTCAAATCACTTGTAAATCTGATAAATCATAAAATCACATAGTCTGTAGAGCTTGGCTCAATAATGAATAACAATTATTTTTTAGCTTGCTCTGGCTACTGTGCATGCGCCATCTCCACTATGAGGAGAGGGATTTTCCCACTTGTGGCTTAATCAGCAAGGTGGACTTTAAAGGATGACAAGGTGAAGCAGTTGTGGAGAGTTCCTTAATATAAAAGAACTGGATACGTAAAGAAATGGGTAACCAGTGCAGCTGGTAGAGAACTGGGGCTGATGTGTTTTTTGAAGAGATCAGTAAGTGAGCAGCAGAGTTTTAGACATATTGAAGTTGTTGCAGAATTTTTGCTGGGATATAAATAAAAAGACAATTTCAATAATCTAGCTCTTTACCGCTAAGGGAATCATATTTGATACCATCGTTTTTGAGACTTCTACATCATCAGTGAGTTGTTTTTTTTTTTTCTCCCTGCAAAAACTGAAAAAATAAAATCATGTAAATGTTCTCTGCCCCCTGGTGGATTATGCGAGCACTGCATGTACCAGAATACCTTTTAACTGAGACATCCAAAATGGCTGTCATCAATCAGTCACATACTGGCATGGATTTTACCAGTTTTGTAAAAGTTAAAACCTATAATTACTTCATATTTTACAGTTTATTTTATTGTAAAAGGGTGTTGAAAATGCATGTATATACAGCAAGTATATAAGGTAATTTATCTGTAAATCCATCATTTTATTGCATTTCATGCATTATGCATTCCTTTAAAACAACATATGCTCTTTTGATTAAGCAAACTAATTAAAGGTTTAAATTACATAATTAGATATATTTAGAGTAGAAGCTGAGATATTTATAACCAATATTGTATTTTTATATACACTTTTAAAAATGATGGTTCCTCAAGGGTCTTTAGCAAAGAAAATGGTTCTCTATAGAACCAAGAACACTCAAAGAACTCTTTGCATGATTAAAGGGTTCTTTGCATCATGAAAGCATTCTTCAGAATGGAGAATGGGCTGTAGATGGTTCTATGTAGAACCAAAAAGGCTTCTTCTATTGTTACAAGCTTGACATCGTTTTTCGTGCCATATAGAAGCCTTTTCAAAAAGGTTCTACATAGAACCATATGACAGTCTCCATCAATCTGAAGAACTTTAACAATATAAAGAACCCCTTAATCATGCAAAGGGTTCTTTCAGTGCTCATGGTTCTATATAGAACAATTTTCTTTACTAAAGAACTCTTGAAGAACCATCTTTTTAAGTGTGTATGCAATTCCTGATGATTGACCACTAGTTGCATGCTGCTTGCTTGCTAATAATTTTCTTTTGCTCATTGATTTTCACTAAAAACTGACTAATTCATCCATCCATCATCTAAACCGCTTATCCTTCTGGGTCGCGGTGGGGTGCTGGAGTCTATCCCAGTTGTCATCGGGCGGAAGGCAGGATACACCCTGGACAGGTCGCCAGTCCATCGCACGGCAGACAAACAGACATATAAATCCACACACACACTCACACCTAGGGGCAATTTAGCATGTCCAATTGGCCTGACTGCATGTTTTTGGACTGTGGGAGGAAACCCACACAGACACGGGGAGAACATGCAAACTCCACACAGAAACGACCCTGGTCACCCGGCCGGGAATCGAACCGACAGCGCTACCCACTGCGCCACCGTGCCGCCCCTGACTAATTCAGAGGAAAAATAATTTGGTTTTGGTGCACATTTGTAGATGGCAAAAAAGCATAGTGTTGAAATCCTAAAGATGATTTTGGATGAAGATTCAAGTGACATGGAGCAGTTAGGGGAAGATGATGATGAGGAGGAGGAATGGACTCCTAACACTGCAGTGTGTAAGGAGGGAAACTCAGATAGTAGCGATGAGGAAGACTTGCAAGATAAAAGTGTCAACCAGAAACGTGCAGAAGTCAAAGGCCTAACAATAACAACACAGGACACAACAATAACGTAGTCATCAAGGGTCAAAGTGAAAAGGAAAAAGTATCATGGGAAAAATAAACTATTTGTACATTCAGAGGTTGAATTTGATGAATATGTCGAGGAAGACTCAGAAGACAGGCTTGACTGGACACCATGTAGTTCAAAAGTTTTGGGACTGATGAAATGCTACAGGAAACTGCAGAACAAACAAACTTGTACAATGTGCAGACAGAAGAAAAATCAGTGAACACTGATTACGAAAGAAATTAAACAAATTCACATGTGGTTAGTACAGATGGCCAAAGTCTATTGGATGATGGAGATAACGCACTCTGCAGTTTGAGATGTGATGTCTAGAGATCAATTTCTGAAATTACTGACACTAATTCACTTTCAGGACAACCTCATTGTGCCTGATGATGCAAAGAAAGACAAACTTCGGAAACTCAGGCCATGGTTACAGAAATTACGCAATTTACTACAATTTTTTTGCATACCTCTTGAAGAATGTCACACCATTGATGAAATCATCTAATCAAGGGCAAATCACATTTATGTGTCTACTCTAGCAAAACCTCACAAGTGGGGATTCAAGATGTGAAGATGTGCTGGACAAAGTGGCTTTCTTCACGACTTTGACATTTGCCAGGGAGCAGAAAATCCAGACCAAGCAAAATCTGATGTTGGTGCTACTGGAGGCATTGTCCTGAAAATGACCTCAACCCTTCCAGCAGGAAAAAAGGACTATTTCTCATCAGTTCCACTGATGGAACACTTGAAAGAAAGAGGGATCTACTACATAGACACAGTCCTAATGTCCAGGGGTCAAAGACAGCAACATGATGGATGAGAAAGACTTATAGACAAAAGGAAGAGGGTCTCTGGCTTTAAGAGTAAACTGGGACAACACCATCACTGTAAGATGGTGTTGTCTTTGTTTACCTACTTTCTTCTTTTGTTAGCATCAAAGCACCAGGCAATGTGAAACGTTGGGAACGAAAATCCAAAACCTGCATAATGGTTCCCAGACCAGCAATTGTTGAAACATACAAGTTCATGGGAGGAGTTGACTTTCTTGATATGCTGTCTGCACTTTACAAGTTTGACTTCAGATCCCAAAGAAGGTATATGTTCATTTGGTGGTGCACGGTCACAGTGGCAGTAATCAGTGCATGGAACCTCTACAGAAGAGACCAGAAAAAACTGAAGCCCAGACAGAAATCCATGGCCTTGCGAAGGTTTCAGACTGCTGTTGGCACTTTTCTCACAAATGGCAAAGGGGAAAAACAAGTGTGGCAGAAGACAGAAGATCCTAGCCCCTCACCCCCCTCCCTGCAAAGGGCCAACCTTTAGTGTGCCCCCTGATGCGAGAAAGGATGGCATTGATCATTTCCCAACCTGGGAAACCTGACAGAGAAACAAGAGATCCCAATTATTCCTTTGGAATTTTGGAAGTTTGGAATTATTTCTGTAGGCTTTTGTTTGTTTAAAAAACCTCTTCAGCTCCTGATCCTACAGGTCTTCTTTGGGGTTCAGGTCAGAGAACTGGGGTGGCCATAGCAAAACTTTAATTCTGTGGTCAGTGAACCATCTTTGTGTTGATTTTGAGGTGTGCTTTGGATCTTTGCCTGCTGGAAGATCCAACCATGGTCCAGTTTAAGCCTCCTGGCTGAGGCAGTCAGGTTTTTATTTTCATATCGATTGGTACTTGATGGGGTCCATGATACCATGTATCTGAAAAAGTTGTCCAGGTCTTTGGAAGCAAAACAGTACCACAACATCACGGATCCACCTTTACACTTCACTATGGGGGTGAGGTACTTTTCTCCATGGCTATCTGTGTGTGTACACCAAAACATTTCTTCTGGCACCCCAAAACAACCTGTGGTTCTGTAGGTGGATTCTGATTGTAGTTTGGGAGACATTCTGACTCCCATTCTGAGACCTAACTGACCTAATGTCCGCAATTCTCCAGCTGTGATCCTTGGAGATTCTTTGTCCACTCAAACCATCCTCCTCACTGTGGGGCCAGTATAGACATACATCCTCTTACCAGCAGATACTTAACATCTCCAGTTGTTTCAAGCTTCTTAATGTTTGCCCTGATAGCTGTTTTCGTGTAGCCATTTCCGGATTTGTGCAGCTCAACAACCTTTTGTTTCACCTCACTGCTGTTTTCTCTGGTCTTTCTCGTGGATGACTGAGGAATTTGGCCTGTGTTTTATCTCATATATATTACACAGTGAAACAGGAAGTCATGACTGAAATATTCCTAATCTCTCAGGTGAACTGTAAAATGAAGGGAAAATATATATATATATATATATATATGAATGTGAATATACTTCAGTTAGATTTCACTCTTAAGAATTTATAGGGGTAAGAATAAGATTTAGGATTTTTAGTTCAATCATTGTACTTTAAATAAAGGTTAGATTTTTGAAAATAATTTTAATAAAAGATGGGTTTAATTTACATAGTTCTGAGTTTACGTACACCGACCAGGCATAACATTATAACCACCTCCTTGTTTCTACGCTCATTGTCCATTTTATCAGCTCCACTTACTATATAGGTGCACTTTGTAGGTCTACAGTTACAGACTGTAGTCCATCTGTTTCTCTGCATACTTTGTTAGCCCACTTTTACCCTGTTCCTCAGTGGTCAGGACCCCCATGGACCCTCACAGAGCAGGTACTATTTGGGAGGTGGGTCATTCTCAGCACTGCAGTAACACTGATGTGGTGGGGGTGTGTTAGTGTGTGTTGTGCTGGTATGAGTGGATCAGACACAGCAGTGCTGCTGGAGTTTTTCCTCACTGAGCTGGACTTACCATATTATTTTAGTATTATAAATGTAATACATTTGATAATTAATACTTAGATGAACATTAGACAGTGGTCAAGGAGGAAATCATGATTCTTGACTGATATTGTATCCTTTGTTGTATTGTTCACATGTGATGACATCTTAGTCTTTGCTGAAATATTTTTAGTTAATGCTTTTAGATGGCACTCCATTTTAAATAGCTCATTTTTCTAACTAGACCTTTGTTGCCTTATGAAATAGCATCCTCCACTGAGTTGAAGCATCTGATTGTATTTGAGCAAACAGTGGTTTTCTGTGGAATTTTACCTGCTATTTCCATTAGCTATATATAGCAACCACCTGCAATGCCTACAACAAAATAGCAATGGTCTAAGAGCACCTTAGCAACCAAGAATACCATGGCAACCACTGTTTACACTACCATATAACAAAATGAACACATTTAGCTTTGAACACTAGTATAACACAGTCTAATGTTGAACATTTCCTACTGTTTTAACTTTTCAACATAATTAGCTGGCTTTTTCACACCTACTTAAAGTTAATTCAAAAACTTTAATTTTCTGGTTTCTACATGTTATTTAACACTATAAACTATAAGCTCTTTTGTTTCAAAATGGAACTTAAATCCCTTTTATAGGCCTTTTTGACCCTGTTTCATTCCTTCAAACATTTTATCTCATGAACACATAAATTACAGATATGCTGTGATTCCTTCGTTTAATAATCCTTTGAACATGAGGTAAAACAATGAATAGATAAATACTGAGTTTACAAATTAACCTTTAAAATGTTGCAGAATGTCTGTGTCCTTTGGGGTATAGCATGTTTTTAGATTTCTTGTTGTTGGGGGAAAATATTTTGTTTAGAATTCTGTACTATGGCAACTAACTGGTATCCAGTGCTGTCAGTGCAGGACATTAATGGTAGTGTAAGGTGAATGAAGTGTAGGATAACATGGAGTGAAACTGTTTAAAAGTTAGGTCTTTATATTTTGTATAAGATATTTAGCTTTTTTCAGATTCTGTTCATTATTATAATTTTTTTTAATTATTGTTCAAAACCCAGTTGTATTTATAAATCCATGAGATTTTGAGAAATACTGCAAGGTGACAGATACACTATATTGCCAAAAGTATTCACTCACTAATCCAAATCATTGAATTCAGGTGTTCCAATTATTTCCATGGCCACAGGTGTATAAAACCCAGCACCTAGGCCTGCAGACTGCTTCTATAAACATTAGTGAAAGAATGGGTCGCTCTCAGGAGCTCAGTGAATTCCAGCATGGTACCGTGATAGGATTCTGCCTGTGCAACAAGTCCAGTCATGAAATTTCCTCACTACTAAATATTCCACAGTCAACTGTCAGTGGTATTATAACAAAGTGGAAGCGACTGGGAACGACAGCAACTCAATCACGAAGTGGTCGGCCACGTAAAATGACAGAGCGGGGTCAGCAGATGCTGAGGCGCATAGTGCGCAGAGGTCACCAACTTTCTGCAGAGTCAATCGCTACAGACCTCCAAACTTCATGTGGCCTTCAGATCAGCTGAAGAACAGCGTGGAGAGCTTCATGGAATGGGTTTCCATGGCCGAGCAGCTGCATCCAAGCCTTACATCACCAAGCGCAATGCAAAGCGTCGAATGCAGTGGTGTAAAGCGCCGCCACTGGACTCTAGAGCAGTGGAGACGTGTTCTCTGGAGTGACCAATCACGCTTCTCCGTCTGGCAATCCAATGAATGAGTCAGGGTTTGGCGGTTGCCAGGAGAACGGAACTTGTCTGACTGCATTGTGCCAAGTGTAAAGTTTGGTGGAGGGGGGATTATGGTGTGGGGTTGTTTTTCAAGAGTTGGAGTACACCTTTGGGATGACCTTATGGTCATTGGGAGTCAGAACCTTGAACTTCATGATACTCGATGAGAATAACAGTGGGCCTCATTCACCAACCGTTCATAAGAATAAATTTCTTCTTAAAACCCATTTATGCAGTTTTTCGAAGATTCGGACATTCAGCAATGTTTTCTTATTTGTTCTTAGGTAAGAACAGAATCTACACACTCAAGAGCACAAAGGTGAAAACAGTTCTGCGCTTTAAGAACACGTCATGAATCTGACAGACTTTTTCTTAGGAACAGATTTCTCAAGAACACATTTAAGAAAAAACTTAGGAAGATATTAGTGGAGAATGAGGACCAATGTGTCCACATGCCTGAGCTTGAATAAATAATAAAGATGCTGTAAGATTAATGTTTCAATGAAAAATCAAGATTGACCTTATCATTGTTTGGAAATGGTATTTGGGAATGAAATTTATAAGTTATAACAAGATGTTTTTTGAATCTATAGATGATTATTCTACTAATGCAATCTTTCATTTTTAAACATCCTCTATAGTTGCCCTGTGCCTTGACATTGTAACACAACTAACAACATAGCAACTAATGAGAAACCAGAAAATAAGTAGAAAATTTAGATTGTTTGTGTTTAACTGAATAAACAAAAGAAGACACAAAGATGACAAAACAACAGTTGAAAATGACTCTGCTCACGCCTGTGAAAAAAGAGCTGTCATAAACAAAACACACTGATACATTCTTGGATGCATCAACAACTAAATGATCTTGTTTGGTCCAAATTGAATTTAATTGAATTTAAACTGAATTTGAACTGAGTTTTTGGCTTGGCAGTCTCAGTTAGTCATCGAAATTTGTATCTGTTTACTGTCTCATTAATTTATTAATGATTTACTGAACTTCTAGATTGCTCATATAGCTATAGTGACTACAAATTAATGACCACTAGAAACAACAGACCTGCTGGCTAGACATTCTTCAAAGTATGCTTCACAGCATCCACCAAAGGATCCAACACAACATCCAGCACAGCATCTCCCACAGCATCTGCCACAGCGTCTGCCATAGCACTGAGCAATCAGTGCTACTATCAAGGTGATGGCAATGAAACTAAAAATTGTAATCTGGAAAAAAAGACAGCACAGTATTGTCAGTATCGTCTATATATACTGAGTAGTCACTTCATTAGGTACACCTCCTTGAATGTACATTTGTCCATTTAATCAGCTCCATTGATCATATAAGTTCACTTTAGTTCTACAGTTACAGACTGTAGTCCATCTGTTTCTCTGCATACTTTGTTAGCCCCCTTTTACCCTGTTCTTCAGTGGTCAGGACCCCCACAAGACCCTCACAGAGCAGGTACTGTTTGGGTGGTGGATCATTCTCAGCACTGCAGTAACACTGACGTGGTGGTGGTGTGTTAGTGTGTGTTGTGCTGGTCTGAGTGGATCAGACACAGCAGTGCTGCTGGAGTTTTTAAACACCTCAGTGCTGCTGCTAGACTGAGAACCAAAAACATCCAGCCAACAGCGTCCTGTGGGCAGCGTCCTCAGGATTAGAGGATGACTGGTAGACCACTAAACTGTACAGCAACAAATGAGCTACTGTCTCTGACTTAACCTCTACTAGGTTGACCAAAAAGGCGGAACTGACTAAAAAACAGTGAGTGATCCTCTTGGTGGACTATTCTAAGTCCAGCAGCGACACTGACATGTTTAAAAACTCCATCAGCACTGCTGTGTCTGATCCACTCAGACCAGCGCAACACACACTCAGTGATGTTAAGGGCTGGACTCTGGGGTGGTCAGTCCATCATTCAGCTTCTTTGTTCGATGTGTCCGTCTCCTTTTCTCAGTGAGGTTCTTCTTGACAGCTACACATCCTTTCAGACCCACAGCGCTGAGTCGTCTTCTCACAGTGGAAGGATGGACAGAAACACCTGTGGATGTTTTCAGATCTGAAGCAGCTTGATTTTCTCCTCTCTCTCAAAGATGAAAGCTTTAAGTGCTGTTTATCTGATGGGGGCAGTTTTGGGGTCGACCAGCTCTTCCAGGTGGTTGTTAGGAGGCCTGTTTTCTCTGGAGCTTTTTTTTTTATAATTTTAGAAATTTTGTAAATTCATGTAGTTTCCTTTCACTTTCTAATTCCTTATGTAAGTGGAATATGTTATATTTCTGAGTAGATTATATATCTCCTGAAAAATCAATGATGCCCTTAATAATAATAATAATAATAATAATAATAATGTACTTAATGCATAGTTTGACTGGAAATTAATACAACTTCATTTCCAAAAAAGTTGAGATGCTGTGCAGAATGTAAATTAAAATAGAATGCAATGCAAATTCTGTAAACCATATTTTTAAAGGAAAATATTACAAACACAACTTATCAAATGTTGAAACTGAGAATTTTTAGTGTTTTTGGAAAAATGTATGTCCATTTTGAATTTGATGCCAACAACAAATTCCAAAACAGTTGGGACGGGGGCCTGTTTACCATATGTTAAACATTTGTGTTTCATCACCTCTTCTTTTAATAACACTCTGTAAGCATTTGGGAACTGAGGAGACACTGCTGTAGTTTAGAAAGTGAAATGTTTTTCCGTTCTTGACTGATACAGGATTTCAGCTGCTCATCAGGTCAGGGTCTCCTTTGTCATATTTTTTATTTCATAATGCACCCAATGTTTTCAGTAGTGACAGTTCTGGACTGCAGGCAGGTCAGTTTAGCACCTGGACTCTTTTAATATGGAGCAATGCTGCTGTAATACATGCAGAATGTGGTTTTACATTGTCTTGCTGAAATAATCAAGGCCTTTCCTGAAAAAGACGTTGTCTGGATGGCAGCATATGTTTCCAAAACATGTATATATCATTCAGCATTAATGATGTCTTCACAGATGAGCACGTCACCCATGCCATGTCCACTAATGCCCCCCCATACCATCATGAATACTGGCTTTGAACTGTGCACAGATAACAAGCTGAGTGGTCTTTAGAACACAGTGTCCATGATTTCCAAAATTAATTTCAAATGTTGATTCGTTGGACCACAGGACACTTTTCCACTTCCCCTCAGTCCATTTTAAATGAGCTCAGGCCCAGAGAAGGTGGTAGCATTTCTGGGTCCTGTTTATATTTGGTTTCTTCTTTGCATTTTAGAGTTTTAACCAGCAGGTTTTTTTTTTTTAGCATTATACAACTTTACCAGCCTTTTGTTCCCCCATCCCAACTTTTTTGGAACATGTTGTTGGCATCAAATTCAAAATGGGCAAATATTTTTCACTTTTAACGTTTAATATGTTGTCTTTGTACTATTTTCAATGAAATATAGGGTTTAATTAGGTTTGATATGCACATCGTTGCATTTTGTTTTTATTTATATTTTGCACAGTGCCCTAACTTTTGTGAAAATGGGGTAGTACATGATAGGTGGTGTCTGACTTTTGCACTTTTTGTGACTGAATACTGTAACCAGGGAAAATTCTCCATCCAGGCATAAATAAAAGCTTTCTTTGGTGCTGAAGTACTGAGGTGGATACTAAGCCAATCATGTTTACTTTGAAAATATTTTTGCCCACCTTCTCAGTGTTCTACTAATGATTTTGCTTTACCAATTTCACATATGTGCATGCAATATAATGTAGGTGATCAAATAAACAAAACAAAAAACAAACAAACAAAAAAAAAACATGCATTTTAATGATTTATGCACAAAATTTGAAAATCAATGGACTTCTCTTTTAAATAAAGGTAGCTTACCTTAGGTATGTAAATTGCAAAGTTCTCCTTGACATTCTTTGTTGAGTCACACTCAGTGTGGTTAGCGGTTATCAAACAGGACACATATCTGCCATCAGCAAAGAACAAGACCAGCCAAAAAACAGATGGAACTGTACAGGTCATAAATTTCACACAGCATCTACAACTGCATTTGGAACCATTCTGATGCTGTGGAGTTTCAGAATCAGACCAGAGGTTGGACTTCCACAAGTAAGTGCCAAAGTTAATAGCAAGAAGCAGAGGCATCGTCAAGTAAAAAAGGAAAAATGTCCATGCAACTTCACAAGGGCACACAAAGTCTTGCTCAACAAGTTTTTCTAAAACAACAAGAACAAGGTTGACCATCACGTAACTACGCCATGGGTGGTCTTTTAAAATTGCAATAAGTCCTGCTAGTATCATTTCTAATGAGTATAGCACAAAACTGCCAACACGGAATCTAAACTGGTCCTGCAGTGCCGAGATCAGCTTTAAGACTGAAATAACCTGCTCTGATACAGTGAGATAAGGTCACGTTTCTACAAGAGAAAAACAGGAAGCTGTGTTGTCTTCATGACAGACAGACAGTGCTGGTGATGCTTGTGGATGCAGAGTTTGATATGACATTTGGTGATCATGCAAACAAGTTATTAACTAGTGTAATTCCTAGACATTCCAGAAATTTTGGAGTTGACTGTGATTGCCATTCAAAGTGTCAGGAATTGACACAATAATCTTGGATCCAAAACTCAGATAAGATAAATTAAAATAACTTTCTTAACAAGGTTTTTACAGGTTGTTACTTGTTACTCTATAAACAATATACATTATAATAAAAGTAAAAAGTAAGATAAAAATATAAACTCTATCCTTCACAAAAAATTAACAATATAAACAATTATAAATAAATAAAAAACTAAAATATTTACACTCTAAGGATATTTTGCCTGAAATTCACATGGAGTTTGCACATGAGCTACTGGTTTATGTTACACATGGGAATGATGAGGAGTTAACAATATAAACATTATAAATAGATAGCAAAAAATCTTTACACTATAGAGATATTTTAAAAATTATATTTGACATTGAGTTATATTGCACACAGGAAATGATGATGACATAGCTGACGTTCTTAATGAGATGGTGGCTACCCCAGCAGAACACTCCATAAAAGATGGCTGATGCCACAACGGTGTCGAAGAAGGTCCTCAGGAGCGCCCCCTGCACTCCAACCACCTCAGTCTCCTGAGCAGTCTATAAAGTGCACTAGTGTTTTCTGACCAGTCGAGTCTATTGTTGAAGTGAAATCCCATATAAAAGTATATCTGGCAAAAATAAAAAGTATAAAACCTCTGACCATAGTGAAGAAATTTGGAGAGTTAAAGCTAGCATGGCTGCTTCTGCTGTTTAATCTGATCTTCTCTGTTTTCTCAGAGCTACCGCTGTGTTTATTTTGATATCCGAAGAATACAATCTAACAAAGCCAAAAAACAGTGCTTCCAACAATAAAGGAAGCCTTTCGCATTTTTTACGCAGTGATAGAAAACCTGAAAGCACGATGAATGTTCCAATTTTACATCTACAAACTGATCTTGATAAAATTATGTTACTGTTGCATACAGGGACAGGCACATGATGTAACTCTAGCGGCAGATTTAAAGAAGCAGCTTATTTTACGGCCCAGTACGGGGCTCGTCAGGTTCTTTGGCTTAACTTAGCTGATTAACAGGTGCTGGCTAAGTTGTACCTGATTCTCCATTATTATCTATTAATGTGGGTACATATGGGACTGTATTCATTATGGAATTGTGGATTGTATTCAAAATGTGAATTGATTATTTTTTGACTTACAACCCCAGGAATAGCACATATGAAGGAACCACTGGGTGAGTAAAAGAACTGAAGAGATAGCAGAACAGCTGATATTTAGTACAGGTTAAAGCAGGAACTGAATGTATTACTTGCACTAATCTTGTTTTAATGGTGGTTGTTGAAAGTAAGGCTAAATCTAAGTGCTCAGAAACACTGCGAGACGATGCTGAAGTGTCCAGTAGCACAAATCTGGGTGAGTAGGAGAAACTAGTTAAGGGAGTTGGAAGATAAAACGTCTTTCTCTGAGTAACAGTTGACAGTTTTAAATAGCTAATGAAGGACAGTGACTGAAAAAGTGAAACATTTGGAGGAAAATATATGGAAGTCAATGTGAGGAAAGAGGGATGAAGTGTGTTACCACAGTAACACCACAAAGGAAGCAGAGTTTAATGTTTTTAGTGGACCTTTAATATGGAGGTCATGATGACATCACTTGCAGTTGAAATGTTCTGTTTCTGAACATTGTACTATGTATTTCAATAGGTAAAACGTTTACTTCTCCATGCTCTACCCAAAATGCAATCTTCATAGGAACTGCTGATGGGTTGGGCAAACTAAGAAAACAGAAAAATCTCAATCAACCTAATGAATGTAGGCTGGAGTTTACATTTGCTACATGGTTAAAATTCAATGCTACCAAGCAGGACTCTGTTTATGTAGTCTAATAAAACTGTGTCAGTCGGAAGAGACAATGAATTTATCTAAATGTATGACATTTATTCATCTTAAAACAGGAATTGACACCAAGCCTGCTAAAGCGAATGTTGAGGCCTGAGCTAATAAACAGCTCATTGGAAGACTGATGGGCAAACTGGTGGGCATTGATGTCCCACCGTGCAGCACACATCCAGGTGAGGATGGAAAATATATGACTGTTATGATAAAAATGCTGAAAACTATAAAACTGATGGTGTTTATTCATGCAGAAGCAGTGAAGGAGATGCCAGTGGTGATGGATGTTGAAGCTCAGGCCGAAGCCTTCCAGGAGATCATAAATGTTAACATGGAAAATAACGAAGCAGCAATGGAGAAACCTCTGGGTGAGAAAATGACCTGAACATGAACTGAATCCTGATGCTGTGGTCTGAGGATGTGCTTAGATGTTCTAGCCATACACTCATTTCACTTGAATGTCATCTTGAAATCCAAAGTGGAGCTGAAGCAGGAAAACTAAAAGAGACACCAGCACAAAATGCGCAGGCAAGTGGAGTTAAAATTAGCTGGAGCAAATTAGCTATTTTAAACCAACTTTATCATGAGTAAAAAATGACACTACTGGGAAACTGATGGTATTTACTGATATTAATGCAGACAGGCCTGCTAAAGCCAGGGCTGCAGCCAGAGCCAAAAAACAGCTCATTAGAGGACTCATGGGCAAACTGGTGGGCACTGATGGGCTGGACTACACCAAAACAGACAGTATATGTCTAGGTGATTATAGAAAAGGATGAAAATAATAAAACTATAAAACTGATGGTATTTAAACCTGTGAGTCATGAACACAACACAGCTGGAAAACTGCTGATATTTATTCATGTTAACACAGTAAGCGACATGCGGAAGGTGAGGCCTGCTAAAGCTGATACTGAGGTCAGAGCCAATAAACAGCTCATTAGAAGACTGACGGGCAGACTGTTGGGTCACTGGATGATCAGAATCAGAATCAGAATCTTGGCCAGGTTTGCTTACACATACAAGGAATTTGGTTTTGGTTACAGGAGCTCACAGTGCACAGTACCAGACAGACATTTTACATGTAGTAAATAAAATAGAATTAAATAAGATTAAATTATATAAAATGAAATAAAATAAAACATGCATTCCTACCAGCACTCACACACACACACACACACACAGTCATACCTGTAAACCTTACATTGTGCAAAGTATATGTCAAGTTAAAGTGCTGAGTGCAGCAGCAATTAAAGGGTGTATAGTGGCAAAGAAAGGGAGACATGAGGTAACAGTCAGATGTGTGGGGTAATAAGGCAGGTAAGTGAGGTAATAAGGCAGGTAAGTGGGGTAATAAGACAGGTAAGGGAGGTAATAAGGCAAGTAAGTGGGGTAATGGAGAACCTGCTGGATGATTTCTGAACTACTAGTGAGCAGCCTATGGGTGAGTGAAGGTAATGATTACAGGTACTATAATAATGACACAACTGGACAGCTGCTGATATTTATCTTAAATCATAAGTCCAGACGCTTCAAATGACCACCTTGGAAGCTTAAGACCATCAGAGAGCTTCCGGACATTTTGGTGAATAACATTGTGAATCTCTTTTTATATTTTAAAATACTGATTCATAATGAAGTATTTTATATTATCTGTTTATAATTATGAAGCTATTCAGATGGTCATCCACATGAAACATTACGATAAGAAGTATCCTCTATTATCACCCCATCACTGTGGCAAATGAGTCTTCATTCACTTCATCATTCGTGTTGAGAAGTTATTAGTTTTCTGTAATGTTAAATCTAGACCATATGCAACATGCCTTTGCTGTTCTTTGAATCATGATTAAGTGTGATCTACACTGAGAAAGACCAGATTCTGAACAAGTGAAGGAAATTAAGATAGATGGCCATTTGGGCAGATTTTGGTATATATTTATTTAAAAGCAGGAAATAAGGTGAAAGTGATGGACCCTGGAGCAGAGGATCAAACCCCTGAAGAGAATCAACCTGTGTTGATGTAATGAAAATTAAAAACTCCTCGGTATCAGCAATGCTCTGCCATAGAAAAGACCATTTTCTACCTTCATCTCCTAAACTACATTCATATGTTCAATAATCCATACCTACATACATATAAAAACGTTTTTTTTACAAGACATAGGTTAACAAAAGTTACAAATTTAACATAGAATTCCTCTTATATTGTAGAAAAAGACATGATCAGGATATCCGACACTGAAGCTCGGTCCGAATGTGGCACTAAAGTGCAGGGTAAGTGATGAACATGAGCTACTGATGACATCAACAAAACAGCACATGAAGGTGGATCTTGATCCTGAAACTAAAGGAATACTATATGGACAAAAGTATTCGGACACACCTCTTAATAATTGAATTCAGGTATTATATTCAGCCTCATTGCCACAGGTGTATAAAATCAACCACTTAGCCATTCAGCCTGCCTTTACACACATTAGTGAAAGAGTGGGTCTGAAGAGCTCACTGAATATGAGCGTGGTGCCGTAATAGGATGCAACTGTTGCAACAAGTCACGTCATGGAATTTCTTCCCTCCTAGATATTCCACGTTTAGTTGTGAGTGGTTTTATGGAAAAGTAAAAGCATTTAGGAACCACAGCAACGAAGTGTCCGATCACATAAAGTTACAGAGCAGGTCGCCGAGTGCTGAGGATTATAGAGCATAAAAGTCACCAATGCTCACTGACTCAATAACTGCAAAACCTCAGACCTCCTCTGGCATCAGCATCAGCACTGAAACTGTGAGCCAGGAGCTTCATGGCCTGAATTTCCATGGCCGAGCAGCTGCGCGCAAGCCTTACATAACCAAGCACAATGCCGAGCGTCGGATGGAGTGGTGTAAAGCGTCGCCACTGGACTCTGGAGCAGTGGAAACGCATTCTGTGGAGT